CGCATGCGATATTTAATGCGCATCTTGTCAGTAAAGCCGGTTCTGTAATCAGCTGTAAATCTCCATCACGTGTGTGCTTTTACATTGAGCAGCATTTACTACACAGAGCCGTTGCTCACTGACAAGCTGCGCAAAAAATCAACTTGTCAGTGAACAACGGCTGTGTAGTAAATGCTGCTCAATGTAAAAGCATGCACGTGATGGAGATTTACCGGAGATTATGCGCATTAAATATCGCATACGATTTATCGTGCAGCCCTAACTGGCATGATGAATCCAACACTTGCACAGCAGTATGATCCAAAATGGAAATCCAGGACTAAAACCTCGAATGAACCAGACACCATCAGCCTGGGAATTGAGCAACCTGGACGCCTGCCTCAGTTTCTCTCACGTCAGTGAATCCAGTGGTCTTCTCGTCACTTCGAGCAAGTTACCACCACCTCTCGTTGGTCAGTGTCCATGAGCAACATGACCCAGACCTTCTACGTTCTAAGTCTTACACCCCGAAATTTATTACACCCGACAGCCTCTATGGTTTCACTATATATAAAAATAAAAAGTATGCTTCTCAAAGTTGCTTCACAGTTATGTGGGAGGTGGTGTGGGAACGAGTGTCACATTCCCCGGGAACTCTGACTAATCCTACAAAAACCATGACAAAAGCAAGTCCTTAATGTGGCGGACGGTGTAAAGAGACACTGAGCTTATACTCTGAGGTGTTTACCACTTTACAACAGACATACTGGCATGAGTACAATGCGCTGGGTGTAAATATAGACAATCTTCAGTTACATGTTACTATTAATGATGAGAGAGAGGCAGTTATGCACCCAAATAGTAATTTTAGAGCACGTATAAAAATAGATCAGAGAACATACAGTTTTAAACTAGTGTTGATCTGATAGCTGTTGGGTGTGCTTTTCAAATTAAACTAGAGGACAGAATAACAGCTAGGTTATTCCCGCCAAGAAGTTCAGATATGTTGGATATATATTATTTCAAATTTTGTGAAATATTGTGTAATATTTTAACACTTTAAAATAATGGTTTTCCAACAATAATATATTTTAAAATGTCTTTTATTCTTACTTTGGCAAAGCTGAATTTTCAGCATCGTTACTCTTTAGTGTCACATGATCCTTCAGAAATCATTCTAATATGCTGATTTGCTGAAACATTTCTTATTATTATCAATGTTAAAAACCGTTTATATGCTTAATATTTTGGGTGAATCCAAGATACATTACATTCAGGACTCTTTGATGACTAGAAAGCTGAACAAAAAAGCATTTACTGGAAATATATTTTTTTATATTATAATTGCCTTTACTGTCACTTATGATCCATTAAATGCATTCTTGCTGAAAAAAAGTAATCATTTCTTTTTATAAAAAATATATATTTTTTTTTTAAATAACTTCTATGTTCAACAGATGAAATAAACTAATTCAGGTTTAAAACAACTTGAGTAAATGATGGAATAAAAATTAAACACTATGACAGAATTGAAAGACAGATGACAGAATTTTCATTTTTGGTGAACTATTCTTTTAATGTTAATAAAACAACAAAACACAAAAAAAAATCAAGAAATAAATACTACTAAACCCAAACTTTTGAATGCTGGTGTATATGGCAATAAAATGTAATTACTTTGGTTAGGGGGAAAACACAACATTTTGTGAAAACATTTATTTTGACAAGATTTCTAATCAAAACAAATCACTGCCCATCCTGTTAGACTTTTGTGAAATCTCTTTATGTTTGTGAGCAAGTCTTAACTTTATAAAGAATATCTCTTTGGCTTTGCGACTTTAGTCTTTGCGACTTTAGGGATCTTATCTATGCACGAACAGCTTGTAACACTCCAAAGAGAAAGGAAAATTTGAAATTGCAACATATGACCCCTTTAAATAAAAAATTCAAAAGATGGCTAAAAATATCCACATTAACCATTAAAAATATCCAAATTAAATATTGACACCCTCGTGCAAGTCAACTCTCAATGCCTTACTAATTTTAGCATCCTGTTAATGTCTTTGTGTAAATAATCACATCTGACCAAAGCATGATTATGAAAGTCTGCTACATCCTATGGAAATACTTTCTTAAATTACAACACAAGCATATTATCATTTAATCTTTTTACAGAGTTCAAAAGAGTGCTGCATAACAACAATGAAGCATTAAAAATTGGGATTACATCAATCTGCTGTCTCTTTTGTCTTAATAGTAATAATTCCTGAAATGTTTAAGCATTTCTTGGAAACCTTGATGCAAATGAGCCAGTCAAATGACAGAGCACACGAACGATGTTAACAGAGAGCACATATGTAACCACAGAGGTGAAGGACTGAGCTTGAATCAATCAGACAAACAAAGCTGTCCAGCCAAGATTTTCCATTGCCAAGTGCTATTGCTGTTGACCTTCTGTTGAAGTGAGACTAAAGTGGATTCAGTTCAGCAAGTCAGAATGGTCTGGGGGGATGATAGTCTGAACACCTGACTGCGACAACAAAAACTTCCGTCCAGTCTGATCACATTTCAGACAGAGGCCATCAACACATAGGGCACACTAAGGTTTCAATGCACAACTACAAAGCTGAGCTTTGAGGCTTGTGTTGAATACGACTGCAAAAAGTCTCCTGAACACTGTATAAACATTAAAGGTTTCATTTTTTCATATCAGAAGTGCCTGGCTCCCGTTATGAGCTCTGGATCAACTTGTTTGGACCTCGAAGTAAACAATAAAGACTCTGATTATGAAACACACCATACGGTCATGCAACATGCACTAAGATGAAGTTCTCCTCTCACAGAATTGAGAAACTAAATAATTATTTTATTAAACCTAAAATAATCATTCATCTTAGCCAAAGTGACTGTCAGTACTCTTCTGGAGAAACCTGATGTTAAAATTCTGTCATCATTTACTCACCTTTATGTCGTTCCAAACCTTTATTACTTTTTTGCTTTCTTCAATGCAATGCAAACTAATATTTTGCAGAAGCCAATAATGAAAGTCAATGAGGACTGAAGCGATCAAGATAAAAAAATACAAAAAAGGGAGCATAAAACTAATCCATATGACTTGTAAACTATATTCCAAATCTACCATATGATTGTTTTGTTTGGAAACAGGACGACATTTTTATTTTATGTACTGAAAATTTCCATTGTGGCTCTGAAATTTAATTTACACTTATGTAGGGTGACCATACGTCCTCTTTTTCATGGACATGTCCTGCCCGGGATTTCTAAATTGCCTAAAATGTCTAAAATTTGTGTAGGTCCCACCTTCTCTCATGCAACGATTAGTCGATTATGTATAATGCCAGCGTTCTATTGGTCAAACTTCTTTTCAGTCATGACTTTCAGCAAGCATGAAAACAATACGAAAAAAAAAGACAAAACCTGGACAATTTAGGCAGTGTAGAAAACCTGTCCAGAACAAGTGGAAGTATGGTCACCCTAGCTTACACGCATTCAAAAATCATAGCATATTTGATTCTACAAATTCTACAAGACATGCAAGAACCAATGATGTTTGACTTCACTGGCATCACACCTGAGGCAGCACATTTTGATATATTTAAAGGGGTCATATGATGCGATTTCAAGTTTTCCTTTCTCTTTGGAGTGTTACAAGCTGATTGTGCATAGATAAGATCCCTGAGGTTGCAAAGACTAACGTCTCAAAACCAAAGAGATATTCTTTATCAAAGTTAAGACTCTGCCACGCCCTCCTAAAATGGCTCGTTCTAACACGCCCCCACATATCTACCTCACTATGTGGAAATATTTGCATAATGCCGCCCAAATGTGCATGCAAAGAAAGGCGGCATGGTTTCACATCACAGTGGAGTCAGCTGTCTTAACCGTGGCTTGTGTACTGCAAACACATAGCAGCTTCATCGCTGTGTCTGTCACACCACTCTGTTCCCCTTTCGGGCTCTGTCTTTACATTAATTTTGAAAGATGAAGCTCACAATTATGGTAAGGGGCGTTACATTTTCGACGAGTGCTTGCGGTGTTTGCAATGCACTGGGTCAGCTAGCCAATCAGAGCAGACTGCGCTTGTCGGAAGGAGGGACTTTGTAGAAAACGAAGCGCTTGAGAGAGGCGGGGCATAGAGGACCTACAATAACGTACAGTATTTGAAAAATAATGTGTTTTTTGAACATTAAAGCATGTCAACATATTCTGTTACACCAAATACACAAAATAATGATCTTTAAAAAAAGCATCATATGACCCCTTTAAGTTTGAATGCGTGTTGTTGCAGGTTTGCAAAGATATTAGGGTGAGTAAATGATAACAGCATTTTATTTTGGGGTGAGCTGTCCCTTTAAATGCCTTGCTCGAAGAAACAATGGTGATGGTTCATGGGTCACCGGTTCTCTGCGGAAAAGACCAACTTAGCCCAGCATGAATTTCCATGGTTTGGTGCTTGTCTAGCTGGTTAACCAGTATAACCAGCAGAAAACATCTAATGAAGCTGGTTGACCAAGGGAGGCTTTGTTGGGGCTAAAAACTGTTAAAAAAATAGTACAGCCATCAGCATCCTAACATCTAAAACTACACCTCCTGGTCTTTTCAACAGGGTTGAAGGGTTTGAACACACCATCTATAACCACTACACCACATCACCCCAAGAAACTGCTATTTGTTCAGCATGGTGGACCAGAAAGCATCAGATATGATCTGTCCCGATCTATGGCAAAATACAGCACATTATGCAAAATGCAACCACAATTAGATGAGTTACCACAGCAACATGCATGAACTGTCACTTAGGAAAGACATACATTTTTGCATCAGCTGGGACTCAAAGCAACAGTGATAGATACAAAAATAGCTGACATATTACGAGCTCAACTGTTTAATGAACTATTAAACCACATCAGTTACGACAGAAACGACAACCCACACTTCATCAGATCGGATACTGTCGAATGAAACATAAAAAAGACTGTGTAAGTGTAAATAATGCTTACCAAACGATCCTATCTCCTGTCTTCCTTAAGCCATACACGCCCAGCAGATCAACTGCCCTCAGCAAGGCTCTTTAAACCTACTGCCTAACGTTACCAGAAAGGACGTGAATCCTGCGCTTTATTGTGAACCATATCCTGTATTTACCTTCACAAATACACACTTTTGAATTAAATATAACTAAACGGCACCCGTTACGCAACGCGAGGACGAAATGCCGCTTAATCTCGCGCTGAGGGTGTTTGTTTGTAGTGGGGTAGGTTGCCGCTCCGCGAGCTGCTGCCATGAAAGGTAGCGGCGTTCGTTTTCGGGAATGCACGTGCAGCGGTGGATTTTACGCATACGGCGTAGTGTCATGACGTCATGACGTTTATATCATATGGGTCCGTTATGTCTAGCTTTTGTTTATGAGACGTTATTTACCATTACTGTATTTAATATGTAAGTATTTAGTTCATTATTATTTATTATTTAACTGATAGCATTTTATCATTAAAATATTAAAATATTATTATAAACTTATGTTCACGTTTTCATTTTTATTTTAAATATTCATGTCGTTTTAAAACGCTTTTGCATCTATTTGAGATTTTTGCTTTGCCCAAGGCGACCCGAATTATCATAAAAAATAGAATACAATAAATAAATAAATATACTGAGGCCTTTTTAAAGTCGAGAATAGTGACATTAAATGTGACCCTGGGTCACAAAACCAGTCATGAGGGTCAATAATAATAAAACAAATAAAAAATCACCTTTAAAGTGGTCCAAATGAAGTTCTTAGCAATACATATTACTAATCAAAAATTAAGTTTTGATATATTTACCGTAGGAAATTTACAAAAAAAAAAATTTCATGGAACATGATCTTTACTCCTCTCCTAATGATTTTTGGCATAAAAGAAAAATAATTTTGACCCTTACAATGTATAGTTGGCTATTGCTACAAATACACCTGTGCTGCTTATGAGTGGTTTTGTGGTCCAGGGTCACCAATACTTCCATTTCCTCTGACAAAACACTTTTCCAACCTATTTTACTATTTTGCTTGACATTATTAAATAATAGCATAATTTTTATAAATAATTTTATGCTTAAGGACAAAATCCCAAACAAATTAAGTCAGTGAGTTAAATCAGCTGACAACCAGAACAACCTGATTTATGAACAAATGCTTTAATATTTTGAATTACATTTAATTTTTATATTTTCTGTTATTCTATTCATTTTAGTGTACGTTTTAGTAATTGTGTTTTTGTCTTTTTTTTTAAATGTATATAATGTTGCCTTGTTAACTAACTGAAATGAAATAAGTTGTATATATGTATTTTATTTCGAGTAATGATTTTTTTATGGTATTTTTCATTTTAGTTAATAATAATATTAACCTTTCTTGAGAAGTGTTGTTATACAGTGCATAATTCATATCCACCACTACTTTAATACTTTTATTGGGTTTTTGTCATTTGGAGCCCCATTACATTAATTTTGCTTAACTACAAAACCTCCAACAGAAGCATACTGAGCCACAGAACTTATTTCCAAAAAATTTTTTATTATTATTATTATTTTTTTAAATTACAATTAAGCAAAATGAAAGTCTTCTCTCTCGTCTTAATTCTGAAATGGAGTACAGTGAACTCACTTTCTTCTTCAACCTTGTAATCCTAGCGCTCTGCAGTTTTAGCTGTTTTCTGTAAGCCATTAGCTCGCCCTTGTTGTATGTGTGATCCATGGAATGACAAAGTGTGTATGACGACACAGAAGTTTGACAGTGCTCATGGCTATATGAAATGCTACATTGTCCACTGGGATGAATCTCTGAGGCCCCACTGCTTTCATGCGCTTCAGGATCCACAATCTCCTCCACAGCTTTAGTGTTTCTCAATACAACATCCCCTCTCCTCGGCCTTGTGTGTTGTGATCACCTCTGCGAAGAAAAAGATGGTGGGAACAGCAGTTGTAGAAAGGCGCACTTGGCCTAGACTGTTTGTAAAGAAACTATCTTTATCTTCAGAGTGGACAGGACATAAGCAAGAAAAGGCAGTTGGCTTCCACTTTTATCTAAAGGGAAACTGTGAGAATGAAACAGAAGGATAAACAGAAAAATGGAAATAAAAAGTAATGCATTACTTTACTAGTTACTTGAAAAAAGTAATCTGATTACGTAACTCGCGTTACTTGTAATGCGTTACCCCCAACACTGATATAGCCTATATATTTATTGTGACAAGATCGGACTTTGACTGCCGGAAAGAGTATTCAAAGAGTTTGACTTTCAAGATATATATTATACAGAAGTCTCATTAATATTCAGCCGAATGCTTATTTGTAAACTTAACAAAATGTCATAAAATTAGACTATTTCAAGACTACATTTTCAGTCAGGTCAATGTTTTAATAACATTTACATTTCTGAAAGCATCATAAACGGTATCTTGATGTCAAATTAAGAAAAATATTGCAGAGAATCAGATTATTTTATGAAGTTCAATTTGTCAACCCCATCCGCTAAAATGGGCCACGTTATGACTTTCAAGAAATATTTCAATGTTTTCTCTTTTTTAAATTGTTCAGGTAACATTAAAATAATTAAAATTGAAGCTTGGACATATTATATTTCCATTGTATGAATCCATTGATGTAAGACACTCATCTTGTTATTAAACAATATATAAAATTATAAATGAATAAAAGTTATAATGATAGTTTTGCTGTTTGTTGTGTGTGTATATATATATATATATATATATATATATATATATATATATA